CAGTAGCGACAGCCATGCCGTCTGCCGTCACACCCAGGCAGCTCACTCTGTTGTCATGGCCAGAAAGGATTCCTAGGGGGGGGAAAGAAGAGAGGTCAGGAAAAGAAGTGGAACCTGAGAGAGATGAAAGAATTGACCATGCTGAGGACATGCATTGTAGGCTGTGTACCTACACCCTTGTGTATCGTGCTGTCTGTTCCTGCACAAGGTGTTACAATCAGTATGTGGCTAATAAGAACAAACATGCAGAAGAACATTTGTGTGTGACATAAAACCAACACTCATGAGACTGGTCAAAGAACAACGTTCTTGGGAAAGTCTGGCTACATGAATCTTCACACAACTGCTTTCACCCTGGAGCAACAGTAGGACTAAGAAAGGATGGCATCCTTCATAAGACAGAAATAGCAATGCCATTGATGGGCTGTATTTCAAATTTTCAGAGGCTAGGGGGCACATCTGAAAGAAACAGGCACTTGCGTGCATTCTGTGTATGAGCACCGCAAAGTATCCAAAGATGTGGAATAGAAGCCCAAGCCCATGCTCAGCTTGGGGCCTGGCCACTAACAGGCACTGTGAGTAGCTGGAACTGGCAAACGACAGAGGCTAGGCGAAAGTAGGAAATACTACTGGTGCTTGTGACCAGTTTTAGCTAATAGGAACCTTAATGCCCTTTTCCCCCTTGCAACAACCCTCTTTAAAGTCTTGACTTCCTCAACATTAAAAACAACACTTCTACAGAAAAGAAAGTCATTATGGTGTGCTCCTTAAGTGTGAGGAAGCTTTGCTGGGTTTCAGTCAGCATAGGATGTGTCCCTTTTAGAAAAAAAATAAAGGCCTTTTCCTTGCCTTGGTAGGGACAGAAGACTTTGCAAGGAATGAAAGAGCGACCTCCAGGAGCCACTCACCCACACGCTCTGCTTTCAGGGAGTCCCAGATGTTGCAGTTGAAGTCATCATATCCAGCAAGCAAGAGGCGCCCACTGCGGGAGAAGGCGACTGATGTGATTCCGCAGATGATGCTCTCATGAGAGTACACTATGAGCTCCTGGTCTGCCCGGAGGTCAAAGAGACGGCAGGTGGCATCATCTGAGCCGGTGCAGATGGCTTCACCATTAGGGAAGAACTGAGGAGGGCACACACCAGATTTTGATCACGCTGTGCCTTCCAGATTTCCTCAACTCTTCATCTCTCTGCTAACTAGCAGGAAGCCACGGAGGTAGGAAAACCCCGTGGGACAAGACACTGGATCATAAAAATTGAGCCTAATGCACAGGGAGACTGATGCTTCTCCTAAGACCTACTAAACCCCTTCCACCTCAAGAAAGTCACGGGGCTAGAGCTATTGCAAGACACCCCAGTGCTTGAGGAAGGATAATTTTCTCTTTAACTCAAGCTGTTAGTTTGCGGCTTGACAAGTATCGACCCATTATCCCCCAGAAGGGGTCTGGAATGACTCAGAGCTATGACAGCTTTCCTCTGCCTGATGCTCAGACTGCAGCCTTCTCATACACACTCCTTTTCTGTGACCTTGCTCTGAGAAGCAAAAAAAGAGCTCCTCAGGAGCACGTATGGCAGAAAACCATACGGTTGGCAGGGTAGCCATGGGACAGGTGAGAAAACTGAAGTCAGTGGAGGATGGTTCAAGCAGCAGACATTGCAGGAAGCTGTCAGTCTCATTTGGTTAGCCACACAGGATTAAACTGACATGGTTCTTGTCCCGCCACCTCTAGGGCTCTGGTTTGAATCCTTGCCTCTGAGGGGAATACTTGCCCCCAAATATCTGTGCTGCGTCCTGTGAAGATTTTGTCTTCAGAAGATCTCCCTATGATCCCGAGTTCCCGGCTCTGCTGTCTGGAGCTGACTAAGACCCTCAGCTGAGTTAGGAATTCCTGACTTGAGTCAGGGCTCCTGGAGCATGCCTGAACCACGGTTCCCAGCAGCTGCTATGAGCAAAGCTGCACCAGCACCTGTGTTACAGTGCTGAGATCCATGGTCTGTGGACAAAGCAGTGCTTTGAGTCAGACCTAGATACTTTGGGTGCTCCAGTGGCCGGGAAGAGAAAGCCTCCAAACTTCAGTGAACTCAGGCTCTCCCTGCTTCAGGCTGGATCATGGGGCCAAGGTCTCCTGAGACCCTTGTTCCCCACATGACTGTGACAGCTTCTTTCAACCGTGTCCCAAGACCCTGTTTCAGAGCTGGTCCACCCTCCATTTTCCTTGCCTCCCCACCACTGTGCAGACAGCGTACATACGCAGATGGCGTTGATATCGGACTCGTGCCCTGAGAAGGTCTGACGGCAGGTGCCCTCCCGCACGTCCCACAGTTTGGCAGTAGCATCGCAAGCCCCAGAGATGAAGAGTTTGAAGTCTGGGGAGACAGCCAAGCTCATACAGTCTCCGGTGTGACCCAGGAACACAGTCTTCTGCTGCCCTGTCTCAATGTCCCAGAGTGCGCTGCGGGAGAGGAGAGAACTTCTCAGAGCTAACCCAGGCAGAACACATCTACAGCTGGGCTGAAGAGCTGTCCCACTTGCAAACAAAAGGAGTGAAGACATGGGTCTGGCTACAGCATGGGAAAACGGGTAAGAGTATCGCTGGAGTCAGCTGGATATAACAGGAGATATCTTCACAGCTGTTGCTGGTCATACCTTTGCAAAGCAGAGTTAGACTAAGGCTGGAGGGGGGGTGAGGTTTGACTGTATCCCCGTAACTGCAACTTTTGAAGGGAATACTAAGAGGGAGTAAGAGGGACCCACAGGCAAACAGCTGAAAAAGGTCTGCTGTATGCATGCTCATAAGATGCACGGGCCATGTTCACTGGGATCCTGCATTACAGCCAGGCAAACAAGGCACAATTAACCTTGATCTCAGATGGAAATGCCACATCCTGACTCGAGCCTTGGTCAAGAGGTTCTTCCAAAGCAGGTGTTGGGATGCAGTGGGGGTGAATAAAGACTCTGCACTGCTCAGAGTCACAGCACAGCGAGACCTGAGAGCCAGGAACTAAAGGACGCATGCACTGGGTTTGCAGGTGTCCCTTGCACAGTGGGCAAGACAAGAAGTGGAGCATGTATGTGGGCTCCACATAAATTTATTGTGTTTTCTGTCCTGGGATAAATGACACTGTGCTTTGTGAGAGCTGACAACATGGTCCCTACTAC